TGGTTTAGAACCAGGCTTTGCTTTGATTTCATCTAAACAGTCCAAAAGGAAAGGAGAAAGAAGAGTAGAGGCTTGGAGGACAAATAGAGCTGGGTGTCTTTTGCAAAGCAATGAAAACCAAGACAGAGCTTTGAGGAACACCAGTGGTGACAGACGAAGAGTATGATCTGAAATTTTTAAGCTGGGCAAACTGAGTGTGCCCAGAGAAATAAGATCTAAACCAGGTGAGAGAAACTTTTTGACCCGAGGACCGCATCAAGGTTTTTGAATATAAGTGAGGGGCCACAAAAAAATGAAGTAACCAGTATTAACTTCTCCATTGTTGTTCAGTTACAAAAACAAAACAAAAACAGGACAGGACAGGACAAATAAACTTGTGAAATATTATTATGGTAGTGCATCAAAATTCAATGTCATCAGTTTGCCAAAAAGAACACAGAACATTTTACGCACCATTCACACATGGTGGGGAGCAGGTGTACATTTCTTTCGTACCAACTACCATGAATTTAGAAGTTTACATCAGAACGGCTTTACGAACGATTTCCACAACAATTCGTTCTGCTCATGTTTCATGAATCAGGCCCATTGTTTTCACAGTACAGTTGATTCTTTCTGTTAAGATTGTCTGTGGATGATAGCTGGGGTCCACTCCCACTTTACTCCTTTCTTTTTGAGGTGGTTCAGTAAAGCAGCAATGTCTTTTCTATTCTATTTTTGACATGACATACTTGAGCTACTCCTGACAACAGGACAAATGGAGATGCTAAGCTTTTTGGATCGTCCACTTTGACATTTCCAGTTTTAACAGCATGTTTGCATCTCTGCACAGCCCTCTGAAGGACCCCAACATCAGAAAGTGGATGGTTTATTTATAACAAGGGTTCTCAAACCTGTTCTGGAGCACTGCACATTTCGCATGTCTCCCTCACCTAACACACCTGATTGAAATAGCGGCCACTGCTGTGATGGGCTAACTTCATTGCACCGTATCCATGCCCTCCTTTACAGCATGTTGTGGTTTAGATACTCAAAATGGCAAGTGCTGTGATACAACCATACATGTTTGAGCCCGAGGCAGAAGAAATTGAACCAATGCAAACAGATAATTGCAACAGTCTATTTCAGCGTTGCAAATGCATTGGCTTCCTCAGTTTCTTAATTTTAAGTATATATATTTTTAAAGGTTTTTACATTTTAATAGGAAGGCTAGGCAAGCGTTTTGGAGGTGCAATTTCTTTACATTCACTTACAGAACCATGTCTGAGTTTGACGGTCTTACTCAGCATCTTTATCCAATAGCAGCATGGCTCTTGTGATTGATGGACATGAGTTGTTCAGAACACTCCTCCTTGATGACATACAAAGACTCATATTAAGAGGCGTGTCGAGGAGAATCATGATTCAAATGCTTCAAATGCAGGCATTTCAGAAGGCTAGAAAAGAATAATTCATATTTTAAACTGAGGGGTTCGTTTTGAGTTCTGAAGCTTGCAGTATGTTTTTATTGTAGAGTAACCTCTCATATGTGTAAATATCAAGAACATTTTCATTCTCTATTTCATGAGCCCTTTAAGAGAGGAGAGTGTTTCTGACAGAGGGTCAGAATGAGGGTCAGAATAACTTTTCTTTTTTTCTTTTTTGCAAATATATGACATATACCAACATTACAAGTGAACCATAATGAACCCTAATAATAGTTTTCCTTGGAAACACTTTACGATAAGGTTCATGTTAGTTAATGTAATGTAACAAGTCATTCACAGTTAGTTCACGTTAATTCACAGTGCAATAACTAATATTAACAAGCACAACTTTTGATTGTAATAATGCATTAGTAAACGTTGGAATTAACATTAACTAAGATTAATAAATGCTGTAGAAGATTAGTTCATTCTTAGTTCATGTTAACTAATGAACCTGATTGTAAAGTGTTACCCTTTTCTTTAATTTAATAAACTGTAAATGATTGCACATCTTTATTTGAATGTATTTAAGCATGTATTTTCACCCGCAGGGATGATAGCATGTGTACTGTGTCACTGAAACTTATTCAGATTTCTCAAAATCAGACCTTCAACAGAAATAAATAAAATACAAAACCCAATTCCATTCTTCTTTCACTATAAAATGAAACAGAAAAACTAGGTAGATTAGCATAAAGTATTAGACAACAGTAAATCTGCAGCGGATTGCACACATGGCATCAAATTTCACTGGGCCAAATGTGAGGAGGTTATGATAGCGCATTGATCTGTTAACTCCCATCAAAGAATGCGCATAGATTACGTCCCCTGCACTTTTGATCAAAGCTGAATGCATCCAGTGTTTTAACTTGCATGTTACAGTCGCTTTTAACCAAAATATTAATAGAAGTGGCCATTTTCATTTCATAAATAAAGTGACTGATTTACAGCCGGCTGTTATAATAACTTCAAACACTGTGCATCTGTTTAGGATAGTAGCCATGGTAAAAACATGCTTTGCCCTGCCATTTTTTCTTCATAATTCTTCATAATTAAATGTTCTAATATAGGTCTTAAATTAATAGGGTTCTCTTTATTATTACGTAACTTTTTTTTTGCATTGAGAATAAATTGAACAAGATATAGGCAGCAACAAACAAAAGAAACCACATATAAGAACTGACAAAAACTGGCATTTTTCTGTTGTATCAAACACTGTGCATCTGTTTAGGATAGTAGCCATGGTAAAAACATGCTTTGCCCTGCCATTTTTACTTCATAATTCAATAGAAAAGGCTTTGCTGAAACAAAATCATCCATAGTGTAATGAATATGTGCATATGTAGCATTTAAAATTATGTACAGTTTAGAAGTATGCATTAAATGTTCTAATATAGGTCTTAAATTAATAGGGTTCTCTTTATTATTACGTAACTTTTTTTTTGCATTGAGAATAAATTGAACAAGATATAGGCAGCAACAAACAAAAGAAACCACATATAAGAACTGACAAAAACTGACATTTTTCTGTTGTAAAAATGAAACCTGTCAATTAGAGGTCAGAAAAAAATGCTGTTGCACTTGACACACTGTTCCTCTTACTTCTGAAATGATGGCTGCACAGCTGAGATAATGCTCTTGATTGCAGTGAGGCTGTTATTCTGGTGCCGTCGCATGCATCGCCTCTCTCTGCAGAGCCCTGGACACACCAGCTTTTACTGACCCCAATTAAAAGACAAGACTGATGGCTGACCTGCACTCGCTACATAACGGTGAACTCCAGCAGTCGCCAGATAATCATAAACCTTACTCCAGGAGGACCAAACACGTCATAAGAGTACTCTGTGCTAAACCACAACTAACTAGAAAGAGCATAATTGCCAGCCGTTGGGAAAACATGTTATGACTAATCTGTTGTTCATTAAGCGTTTTAGAGGTTTAGTTGTCCTGTAAGAGTCATTTTTAAACATAACCTGATTTTGTATCTGATCATTAAATCTGGAAATGTCATTTTAAATTCCCAAATGAAAATGCTGTAATGTTTCACTATTGCATGCTCAGAAAACGCTTCTGCTCGCCTGTAGATACCACCTGTCAATGGTCAGAAAAAAATGCTGTTGCACTTGACACACTGTTCCTCTTACTTCTGAAATGATGGCTGCACAGCTGAGATAATACTCTTGATTGCAGTGAGGCTGTTATTCTGGTGCCGTCGCATGCATCACCTCTCTCTGCAGAGCCCTGGACACACCAGCTTTTACTGACATGACTGACCTGCACTCGCTACATAACGGTGAAGTCCAGCAGTCGCCAGATAATCATAAACCTTACTCCAGGAGGACCAAACACGTCATAAGAGTACTGTATGCTAAACCACAACTAACTAGAAAGAGCATAATTGCCAGCCGTTGGGAAAACATGTTATGACTAATCTGTTGTTCATTAAGCGTTTTAGAGGTTTAGTTGTCCTGTAAGAGTCATTTTTAAACATAACCTGATTTTGTATCTGATCATTAAATCTGGAAATGTCATTTTAAATTCCCAAATGAAAATGCTGTAATGTTTCACTATTGCATGCTCAGAAAACGCTTCTGCTCGCCTGTAGATACCTGCACCAGTACAGCATCCTCCCTCCATTTACTAGCAGGTTTGGTGTATTGGAACAGACTGTGTAAAACCCTTCAATCTGCACCTTTAAGAAACAACTTAAACACACAGCAGAGCCTCCACCAAATGAAACACATCGTCTCACGCTAGCACTCCATCACTCACACTACCCTTCACCATAATGCACATTTAATTCAAACCTAAACCTTACTCCAGGAGGACCAAACACGTCATAAGAGTACTCTGTGCTAAACCACAACTAACTAGAAAGAGCATAATTGCCAGCCGTTGGGAAAACATGTTATGACTAATCTGTTGTTCATCTGAGTCATTTTTAAACATAACCTGATTTTGTATCTGATCAGTAAATCTGGAAATGTCATTTTAATGTTACTTCAAATTCCCAAATGAAAATGCTGTAATGTTTCACTATTGCATGCTCAGAAAACGCTTCTGCTCGCCTGTAGATACCTGCACCAGTACAGCATCCTCCCTCCATTTACTACCGGGTTTGGTGTATTGGAACAGACTGTGTAAAACCCTTCAATCTGCACCTTTAAGAAACAACTTAAACACACAGCAGAGCCTCCACCAAATGAAACACATCGTCTCACGCTAGCACTCCATCACTCACACTACCCTTCACCATAATGCACATTTAATTCAAACCTAGAGGAGACTACAGGAGGAGAGCTGTCAGAGAGCACCTCCGAACAGCACAGCCAGCTGCTTGACTACTTGATTTGAGAAATAAATCAGTTGAGCCGTTTGGATCATGTACATCATTCTGTGCATTCTCTCTTGTGAAAGCTACAAAACTAGCAGTCAGTACTTCCAACATCAGTTCTTTGCAGCCCTTTCTGAACGTGTGATGCTGAAGGGATGCTGCTGCGTCCACATGCGCTTGATTAATGGGTGAACACTCACCTTCATGATGGACTCTGAGTGTCGCTGCGCAGCGTATGAAGCTCAACCCCAGGCTCTGATCAGGGACGGACGCAGCCCTTTATTGATTGTGAAATGTCTCGGACTGAAAGGCACAGTTTTCCAGCAGCTCCTCACTCCACCCTCTGCATGAGGATGATCGCTCCATCCCTGCTGTGTGAGATACAACCTCTTCATCCACTCCAGCCAATGAGAGACCAGCTGCGCTCTAACTCCACCTACATGCACAGACCCACAACAAGAACTTGAAAAACACTCATTCAGAGTATGAGTTATGCACACATTCACGCACACACTGATTAATCAATCATAAGAGTTGATTTGAACTAAAAACTGAAAATCCGTGGAAAGTAAATGCACAGGAACACACCTATTATATTAAAACCAAAAATAGTATTCATTTAATCCACTAAAGTAAGAAAACTATGGTTGCTATCAACATAACAAACATGCATAAAACCAAAGCACTGATTAAAGACACCTGATTTCAAATCTGTTTGGCGAGAGATACACACAATAACAATCAGGACTTATGTTTGATCACACAGAATGACTGCAGTCATGCAAAACATCTCCTATACAGCGTTTTACATCATGTGATGTGATTTATTCTTATTTCCAGAGGGGAGCGCTGTTTGATCTGTCTTCAACAGATAACACACACACAGACACACACACACAGAGACACACACACACACACACACAGACACACACACACACACACACACACACACACAGACACACACAGACACACACACACACACACACACACACACACACACAAAAACACACGCGC